CTTCTACTACGACATGCCACCGCGATACATCTGGAACTTTCGTGGTGGCGACGCCAACATTGCAACTGGGGAGAAGCATTCACTTCGCATGACTGCCGTTCTCACGGTTCGAGCTGACGGCACCAAGCTTCTCTTGCTGTTCGTTATCCGCGGCACTCCCGGCGGCCGCATCGAGACGTTTGAGGTTCCTACGTATCCAGTCGGTCCACTTCTACGCTGTGCAAGAAAAAGCCTGGATGGACAATGCTGTGTGGAGATCGTACCTGCGTTCGTTGCTTTTGCCCCAGATCGAAGAGCCGTCGGTGCTCTTGGTCGACAATTTCGAGTCCCACGTCAGCGACGAGTCGTACTCCATCGTGCACGATGAACTCGGCTGCATTTTGGTCCCCATGCCTCCTAATGCCACTTCGGTGTGTCAACCGTTGGATGTCGGCGTGATGGCTCCATTCAAGAGGTACTTACGTGACGAATGGCTTGCCGAGGATATCATCGACGGCGACCATGGTGACGATTTCGACACTCCTTGTGCCTCCCAGAAGAGGCTTGCCATGATCAAGCGAGCGATACTCGCGTGGGATAAGGTAAGCGCTGAAGACATCCGCCTCAGCTTCGAGAAAGCCTTGCCTGATGATGGTGATGGCTCCGCAGCCAATACTTTTCATAGTAGCGCATTTTAAATATGTAAATTTATATTACATTTGCGTTGAATAACTGAAAATTTGTATGGTATTTTTTTCGAGTTTTATATTTATTTATTTTTTTGAAAAAGTTTGACACTGACCGGGGCTCGAACCCCGGCCCCCTTCCTCAATCATCCTGGATGCCGTCGCACTAACCATTGCGCCACTGCGTCAAACGCTATCTTCTATCTGCGTTCGAAGTATTGGTGGTAAATATATTTTATCACGCTCTTAGATCCTATATCCTGCCAAAACAATTGCAGAAAACCTAACAGATTGTACTAATGTGTGCTCTCAACTTTCATAACCTGCCACAACATTAAAATTTGAGTTCGTCGATGAATAAAAATTCAAGGAATGGATGTCATTGGCTAAGAAATTAACCGTATTTCGAAGTAAGGTGGCCAATCATGTCATCGGAATCTGAGATACCTCGAAGGCAACACTTGGCGTACCATTCCTTCGTTGACTGTATAACCACGTGGTGATAAGAAGACTTAAGATATTTAATACCAAATCGCTCAAAATGATGCTTTCTATTCATGAATCTTAAGCTCCTACTCAGTATTTAGTAGTGATTCCTTTGTTAGCAACGACACCGAGGCATCTCCTCTTCATGCTGAGGACAAGATTTTTAGGTGGAGCTCAAGATGGCGATCATTCACCACTGGAATGGTTTGGAAGTTTCCTACTGCTTTCGAGCTGTACTGCTTGCCATCAACGTAAACGCGTTGAACAAGATATCCCTAGACGTTTTCAATAAGATTCATGTCTGGGGATATGCAGGCCAGTCCATAACATCTGTCAGGAAGTAGGAAACAGGAGGTAGGCGTAGGTGATAGGCGTGTAGCAACTTTGCACAGAGTGTCCAAGACAAACCAAGTGTGCGGGACAGGGAAAAACCAAAAGTGATATTCAGTCGTTTACAAACTATCTAGCTTCGTTCCTATTGGCTAAAACTCAGCCAAAGGGAAACACTGACCTGTGAGAATCAGCGCTCTTTTCCTTGTGCTAGAGCCGTGATTGGTGAG